AGTTTGGGCTCTGGATTTGATAAGCACTTAGTTCTACAGCACTTCGACCAACGTAGATCTAGTGTGCTCGCTCTATTTCAGTCGTATATTCGACAATTAAGCTGACGTTCCATCTGGTGGTTAACCGTTATAGTTAATAGTTAACCGTCCCCTATATACATGAACAGTAATAGACAATAAGTTGTCATATGACTCATTGCTAGGCGGCTCAAAAAGGTATTGTATGTTGAACTCTATTTCCATAACTGACCTCTCGTTTGAGCTGTAGCATGTAGAGCCAAGACTATTAAACTATTTTGTCAAGCTGTGATAGTGAGATGTGTCCGTGAGACAGAGATATATATACAAGAAACTTGACTGTCATTGCAATAAAAATAGCTAATTTTCAAAAAGGTCTACACAAAGTTATTGTATGTTGAACTCTATTTCCATAACTACAGAGACCTCTCGTTTGAGCCTATTATAAGATAGATGAATTTATAGATGTAGCAATATATGAATAAGTTTATTTGCGGACAACGTTATAATTAAACTATTTTGTCAAGCTGTGATAGTGAGATGTGTCCGTGAGACAGAGATATATATACAAAGTTTTTTATGATATCAACAGATTAGTGAACTTATCACTACTGATTTTTTTTGCATGATTATATATATGGTAGTTTGTATTCACACGTTTCGACATCAGCAACACACAAGTTTTTGCTCGTTCTTGTTTGTCATTCCACGATAGATACAAATTGTTATGACTAAAAAGTGCTTAAATTAAGTTTATTTTAATGAAAGTTTTTTATGATATCAACAGATTAGTGAACAGCATATCTTTTTTTTAAATATATATTAGTACCCACATCAGAAAAGGTTTTGGCTTGTTTGTCATTCCAATTACACAAAAAAACTTTTAATGAAAGTTTATTTCACCCATTCCAGCTTCGCACGGATGCAATATAAAACTTTGATTTTCTCGGCTTGTTCTATACGATAAAACGACTGTATATAATATAAACGTTCCTCTAAAATCAATCTATCTTTTTATTAAAATCCGTTGCGTAATTTAAAAGATAAGTGAAAACACCGCGGCAATGATTTAGTTTTATACTATGTAAAGATTTTTAATCGCAGCTCACGATGCCAATAAATTTACTATTTTTTTTTTTTAATAATAATAATAATAATTTTATTTTGCATCCAATATTTACAATTTAAATTGTTCCCTGGTACCTAAAGTAAGTAGAAACTTGTATTTTAGGTACCAGTTCCCTTCTCTTACAATTCACAATGTTTGGAATTACAAGATATATGTTCTATAGTTAAAATTAATCATAGATATAGAAAGTAAAGTTAAATTAAAAACTGTTTATTTATTTAGTACATCTTCTAAGCAATCTAGTCGTTACTAGTCAAAGGTTGGGAATCGCTGCAACTAGATGCAACCCTCTTTGACAAAACCTCTATTACCATTCCCCCAGCAATAATCCATTACCAAGCTGATGCGATGCAACCCAGACAAGAAACGGCGCAGTCTACAAAACTCGAAGCAAAAAGATTAAATAAAAACCCGCAGAATGTACGTGATAGCTCACAGGACTGCGTGAAGACATTTTCGTTTACTCCTGAACATGTAGGCTTGGTCTATTTAGACGTCTTTGATCTTCCATTTCCTTGCGCTCTGTTAGTGTGCCTTCGCTAGTACTTTGTAATTTATCTACTCATTTACACATATGCTTTTCTTTTTAGCGACCTCGGTGGTGTAGCGGTTTAGTAGACCGCTTCACGTCCGATTGTCACGGGTTCGATTCCTCGCACGGCACAAATATTTATATTCAGTAGTATGATTGTTTGTATCGGTCTGGGTGTTTTCTATGTATAATATGTATGTTTTTCCAAAAAAAAATCTATATATTTGTATCAGTTATCAAGTGCCCATAACACAAACTTTAGCTAGTTTAACTTGGGTGTAGATAGCGATGTGTCAATTGTCCTGAGATTTTTTTTTTATTATGATATGTCAAATCTATCGCCAGTTTCGAATAATTTCAAGACGAGAAGAACTGACAAGAAACTCAGCTCGTATTCTTTTCAAATAAGTTCTGTACATGTTTAAAATAATACAGATTCATTTTTTAATTCAAATTTAGGAGAATAGTGATCTAGAAATATCTAGTAAGAAGAATATCAAGTTTATTGTATAATAACTACTCTCCCCAGCTTCGTACGGGTGTACATGTGTCATACATATAAACCTTCCTCTTGAATGACTCTACCTATTAAAAAAAACCGCTTCAAAATCCGTTGCGTAGTGTTAAAGATTTAAGCATACATAGGGACAGACAGCGACAGCGTCTTTGTTTTGTACTATGTAATGATGATGATATATTATATAGCGACACTTCATCACATCATACATAATTATTGATGATTACCAGCGCGATACAATATGATATTCAAAATACTGAGTACGAAAATTGGTCTTCGTGAATCATCATGATGAGTACAACAGGTCTTAAATGACAACGTGACTTCTTCTTTAGTCGTCCACTCTTGACAAAGTGGTCGTGGCTTAATATTTGCTGATATACAAATTAGTTATAAACCTCTTCTCAGACATACAGAATATACATATAAAATTTCATCAGAATTGGTCAAGCCGTTTCGGAAGAGAATTTTTTATATTAAATATTGCATTAATGATAAATATAATTTGAACTTAACCAAAATCTTAGTTTTTAGTTAATAATTAATATTTATTTTATATTAATATTTTAATTATAATTACGATACTATAATAATTATTACACAATTACCTAAATGTGATTTTACATTAAAAAAAATCAACTGTACAATATAATGTTATAAATTAATATTAAATAAAATAGAAATAATCTTTATTCAAATAAACTTAATATAAACATTTTAATAGTCAAGTTTTTTTGTTCTACCGCTTATTCGGAATGCAGATTCATCACAAGAAGAATAAGCAAGAAACTTGTATGTTGGTCTTTTAAATAGATTTTTTTTTTAATACAAATAATCACACAATAACAAGAGGCATGCGATAATCAACATAGAAACCGCTACGCACTTAATCTCTGTTCAATCAGATAACATTGTCAGCGCTCTGAATTTTAAGTTAGATATTTTCTACAAAAACATTATTATCATTTATAAATTCTTCAATTTTATAATAAGCTTTTTTACAAAGAAAATATTTTATAATACATTTGAATTTTTTTCTGGCAAATTGAGTACATTCTGACAAATCTTTCTATTTTTAATGAAATAAACAATTTTAAGTAAATGAATATTGTAGAGTTAATTAGAAAAATATTAAAATTCATTTAAGCGAATGTTATTTTTAAGACTTTACTTTCAACCATTCTTCGTACATAATAATAAACTATAGTATATTAGCTTTTGCCCGCGGCTTCGCTCGCGTTAATTTATCCCCTTAGGGGTGGTATTTATCAAAAAAAATTCTCAGGAGATGCCTACGTCACAGTAGCTTTATGCATGCAAAGTCTCAGCCCGATCGGTTTAAAATTGACAAAGTTTCATACACACTTTCATCTCCTATTTTATCCCCTTGGGGGTAGAATTATCAAAATCCTTTCTCAGCTGATGCTTACGTCATAACATCTACCTGCATGCCAAATTTCAGCCCGATCCGTCCAGTGGTTTGGGTTGTGCGTTGATAGATCACTATGTCAGTCACCTTTGAGTTGTATATATTTAGATTCTAATAATGTATTATTATAAAACAAATCATTGTAGTATGTTTAATAATAACTAGAAAGTACGAAATCGTGAATCGTGATATCGCCAATTAAGAACGGACGTTGATGATTCTTTTTGCAATAGGTACATAATTTTAAGATAAAATTGCTACTTATTTAGTGTTTAGAATTGGACATTTGTATATATATATATATATAAATATAATAAAAAATCTTATTGTATATTTATATTTGACCCAAAAAAATTAGTGCTGGTTGGGAGTTTGTATTCACACGTTTCGACTTATAAATGTAAATTTACAAGGATTATTTTAAAGAGCAACACGCAAGTTTCTCACTCGTTCTTCTTGTGATGAGACAGCTTTCCGAGCGAGCGGTAGATAATTTTTTTTATGACTATTCAAAAGTGCTTAAATTAAGTATATTTGAATAAATGATTTTCTATTCTATTCTATAATAATAACAACAAATAATACAACAAAGTTGGGATTATTTTCTTGGTTAATTATTTGATTTTAATACCTTATAAGTAATAATTGTGGTGTTATTTAAAATATCATTAACTGAAACAAAACTTTACTTGTTATACATAAACTATGATTTTATCAACTTTTCCAATCTCAATTTGTATTAGAAACTGTTAATTAAACTAAAACGCAGAAGTTTTAGAAATTGAACAAAATAAGTAATTAAAACAATTTCATATAAATCATATAAAATCTCTACCATAGCCTGATTCAAAACGGAGCAAACTATGGCATAAACAATAATAACATTAGGAATTCATAAACCCTTTTATAATAAAAAACACATTATAAATAGTTGATGCGGCTGTCATTTATATTATTAATATGGCTTCCCGAAGCGAGAACCATAAAGTTGTACAAACGAGGGAGGCGGGATACTTTTTACCGCCCGGACTCCCATAAAAACGCAAGCCCTGAATTAGCTCGATTCTTTGTCACCCCTTTTGAACAACCCTAAAATTTCTACTACCACCGTCTTTGTCTAACAATAACCACTACATTCCCATCCGTTAAACTGCATCAAGGAAAAACAACGTGAAACCGCCCGAGATGAAACGAGATGGAATAATATATATGCAATAGTAGAGGCGACAGAGAGCGGCATATGTAGTAGTAGCCATGGACGTAAGCTTCGTATAGAGTGCAAGGGAGAGGAGGGCGACGAGCGAGAGGGATATAAAAATTAACCAACGGGGGGGAGAGGAATCGAGCTTCTTGAAGCGGGGTAGTTAGTACGCATTCGACCGCGCCACGAGCAGGGTCGCTCTCTGAAAACATACGGCGTACAACGATTCGAGTTGTGATTCTTTTATGGTGATTTATACAGTACGGACCACGATTTGTGTTTTTCTGTAGTATTGTACAGATATGTTACATCGTCTCGAGGAATTTGGATCACCTGCCGTTGGAATTGCTGAAAAAACTTTTCTCTAATAAAATTATGTTAACGTAGTGTTGGAAAAGATCGTCGGAAAATCGTTAGAAGTTATTATGACCAATATTTTACTGCGATTCGGGTGTCGATTATGATAAGCGAAGAGCTTTGACCAAAAGTCGCAAATTCAAAGGAGGAATACCAAAGAAAATGTGTGCCAAAATGTTATCTTATAGTTTTTCCTTGTTTTCTATCTTATTATGGATTGGAGTGTTGGCCGAAGAGGAAGTGTCGTCACCTTTGCGCGTAGCACAATGCAGAGCCACTTGTTTGCAAAAGGTAGGCCAGTTCACATGCATATTAACATTCTTATTACATTGATTAAATGTACCTTTAGTTCTAAATTTGTTTTTAAAAAAAACAGAAATTTAAACATCTGTATCTATAGAATAGTATATCGAAACTTTATATGAAATAAGTTATTCAACAACAAGAAAATAAACCCCGAGGATCCTGTAAACAAAACAAGCGACAGCTCTCGGAATTCTCAACTTAAATGGAAACTGCGAAGATATTCCGACTAAAGTTTTGTAATTGCCGAAACCTCTTAAAATGGTTAGAATGTCAAATTTAGCTACGTTTCAACATCAAAGTCGCAAAATACAAATTGGTAGAAGGACATTTTGAAGTATTAATAAATGAACAACTTGTAAACATCACTAAGGTAGCTACTTATGTAATCGAGCTTCAAATTTATTGAGCCGCATCTTCAAAGGTTATCACATCAATAATTAGTTATGAAACTGCAAATGAAACAAATTATTTAGAAAACGATGCATATAAAACAGACATTTCTTCTGATACATACAAGCCACCACGTGTTAATAACTACATCTATTTATTTAATACAAACACAATATTACAAAACCATAAAAGAAAATTCAAATCAGAATTGTTACTCAGTACAGTTCATAATATGTAATTTCAACACTATAAACTAACTGAACTAGACGGTAGGGAAAAAAATATTAATACAAATAACTTTGTTCATAAGCGGCTAAAATGTTCTACATGAATAAAAGTGTTTTGATTTGATTTGATTTAATAATTAAAGATATTTTTAAATTTATTCTGTCATTTTCGGTAGACTGCAACCAAAAATATCAATATCAAATATCCAATACACCAAAAATATCAATATCCAATATCCAATACACTAGCTTTCTAACTACTTAAAAAGGTTTATCACTAGAATTACAATATAGGTAAACCTATTAATATTGTAAACTCTGATGTAATTAAAGTCGAATTTTGTTCATAAACACAGAATTCGAATAATGGATGAACGTGCATTGTTCGTTTGTGCCTCAATCAATCACTGGGTTTCGCTCTAAAATTGAACCCACATTCAAACTGAACTGGACATTCAATATAATTGATTCAGTAGATGGGTACAGCCAGTGTTTAACAATTAATATTGGCTGTAAATCTCTAGCTATTTTGTGTATATTAAATAAATGTTTAAATGACACAAAAAATTAATCTGTATTATCGTAAACATGTACAACATTTATTTGAAAAGAATACGAGCTGAGTTTCTTGTCAGTTCTCATCTTGAAATCACTTCGAACTGTAGATTTGACATATCATAAGAGAGTGTAATAGACCTATATGAATAAAGATATTTTGAATTTGAATTGAATTACTAGATACCTACTAGTACATTTAAATTAATTAATGATAATACTGATATTTGTATTACAGACCCAAAACCACAATCGCCTTTTATATACTTATCTTAAAAACCACAATAAATAATATAAATAATATAGAAATTTTAGTACTGACACCCAAATATATAAACAAAATCTTATATGTACTTCTAAGTCTAAAACAAAAGTAAAAACAATACAATTATAATAAAATTACAAACACGAAAGTTTGTGGGTATCGATGAATAGACTGATGTTTGTTACTCTTTCACGCAAAAATTACCGAACGGATTTTTATGAAACTTTACAGTAACATATCTGAAGCGGAGGTATCAAATGTGTCTGATGAGTGAGAGGTGCTGAAGGTTTTAATGAGGAAAATACGGAGATTAAATAAAATGCGACTAATATGACAGCGATATATAATAGAAAGTAACAATAAAGAATATGTCAAAGAATATTATTATAAAATTTAAAAATAGTATAAAAACCTATCAAGGAGTTCGCTACATCATCTTATACATCAGAATAATGCCTGGGCTATAAATTTCACGCGAGTCAAACCGCAGGCACAGTTAGTCTAAGTGTAAAAGAAATTGAAAACAATACAATTATAAGATTTGAGAATCTCTTTAAGTATTCTATCAACATCTAACGATATCCAATAAGACTGTGACTTGAATTGTGAATTTTGTTAAAATACGTAATGTAGTGTTCCTTGGTTTAATTAATGAATTTATGACATATCTAGGTACTTTATAGAAAGTTAGGGTTCCATGAAATATTTAGAAAGAAATAACAAAAAAGCAGTGAACGGAAATAAAAATATCGACCTCGAAAAACCCACAATAAGATATTACAATGGGCAACCTTATGACTGAATGGCGATATATTGTAAGCATCTTAGGATTACGGAATATTGCTATAAAACAATACAACTAAAATAGAACTTCAGCCGCATTTGTCTCGATAGGACGCTAATATTGACCCAGGGTCTACTCGCAGATATTCTATTCATATTCTCACAATATCTACGATGCCCAATCTTATTTATAATAATAATAAATAACCCTGGACAATTAACATAGCGCCAACCAGTCCTATGGTAAGCAGATCTTGTGTTATGAATACTAGACAACTGATATAAATATGCACTTAGATATATATTTTTTGTAAATACATACATAATATCCATAGAACACACCCAGACTGATGCAAACTCATGAATACAAAGTTTGCACCGTGCGAGGAATCGAACGCGAGCATCGTAAAGCGGTAACCGCTAGACCACTGTTATTGTACCTAATATTTCGATGTATTACGTGTAATAATCATTCAATATTGAAGAAAATTTATGTAGTTATATATATATGTGTATATAATATGTAAATTGCAATTCCAATAACTAATTGTTATATCTCGACACACAGTCTAATCACTCTTCTCCATCGTAAGGTTGTCTGGAAGTAATCGCTATTTAGCGATAAGGCCGCCAATTGTTACCTCTATATTGTAATTATGTTTTTTTTTATATATTAGATATACATATTAATTTCAGTACTTAATTGTTATATCTTTCTGTGAGAGGAACAATAAAGAGTTTTTCTACTTGAAGGATTTACATTATTTTGTTTAATTCCGCTACAATTAGCATGAGTGAGACTACAAATATTCGGTGTGGAAACTTGACTACCATTACGACCTTCTCTAGTGGCGATCAAATTCCGACCGTTATTGAGTCTACACTCATATCGCGACACGTGTTTCTCCTCTGAACAAGGCATCATCAGGCGTTGAATAAAGTTCAGGTACAGCTCGGAAGCCTAGTGTTGATTCATCGGCAACCAAACCGCGACTCAAGTATGTAGTACTAACTTCCGCAAAATGACACCTAATTCGATTAAATAAAAACAGTTTTTCATTCATTCATTCATTCGATATTTACTGATGCAGTTTAAACTCGTTATTTATTTGCCCCGCCGAGCAGCATCGTTGGGTTATCGCTATTAGTCTGTATTTCCCATAAATGTAATTTGTGTCGGCTAACCCTTTTAAATTGGAATTAACTTATTTTGTTTCAGCTCACGGCTATGGATTAAACAATAAATTATTATTGTTTAGTTATGAATTGTTTTAATTTGAATTTATATTCACTATGGAATGTTTCGTATAGTTTATTCGATTCTCTTTATATTTTCATGAATTCTTCTTCTTACATTCACATTTATTATCATAATTTTATTACATTACTTCTCTTTACATTTAAAAATTCGAAATTGCAATATGGCCGGATTTTGCATTGGACTAATTATGGTCCGTTTCAATCATTACTGCCATAGAGCTGTAATACATACTTTTGTTTTCTTAAATAAATGTTTTAAATAATACTAAATAATCTTTCACCTCTTCTTAATGAATTACAATTAAATTTGAATAATTAGATTTTTTTTATTATGGTACAAGCAAAAAATCTGAGAGACGGAACTGTTAAAAATATTAATAAATGTCACCAAGTAGTAATGACAAAATCTCAGAACAATTCACACAGCGCCATCTAGTCTCAAGATAAGCAGAGCTTGTGTTATAGGAACAATACAGTTGTATAAAACCTATAACACAAGCGATATGAATTATATATATATATGATATAAATGCCTATAATAAGAGCTTAGTTTCTTGTCACTTCGTACCTCAAAAGCATACCCAACTGACTGTAGATTTGACGTATCATAAGAGTCTGTAATAGACTTACATGAATAATGTTTTGATTTGATTTGACAAGGATAATTTTTGTTCGTATATATATATCTACACAGATACATCCAGAACGATACAGTCATACTCTTGTATATGTTTGTACCGTGCTCGGAATCGAACCCGCGATACTGTAGGATTCGTAACAATAATACTTTCACTATTTATAAGTGTTTAATTGTCGTAACATCAAACATATCTTATTGAATCCATGTAGCACTCCGGAGGGTACATTTCATTATTAGTGCAAAGCAACTTTACGAACCACTTAAAACCTTTGAACACCATTTCAATGGAATCATAAATCGGCAGCCATAGCTCCCATATACCATGGGAATCGAATTACATGAAATACTCTCTTAATCGAGTCTTTTGTTAAGTAAATTACCGTAGTTTTGTGCTTCCCAACTTCTCGTATAGGATTAGTACATATTGTTTTTATTAAGTATGCGTAGAGTGAAATAATAATAATAATAATCAAGTTAAGCTAGCCAAAGATTGTATTATGGGTACAGATAGCAAACACCCAGACCGATACAAACAATCATACTCATGAATATAAAATGTTTGTGCCGTGCGAGGAATCGAACTCGCCACCATCGGAGGTAAAGCGGTGTGCTAAACTAGACCAACTAGGTCGCCAAAGAGAGATGTTATAAAATATCTGAATATGGAAGATTTATAATTTTTCCCAATGCGAAGCTAAGAGGAGTCGCTAGTTAATAATATTTCAATTATAAGAACATAGTTATTATTCATTGTTAAGGCATTTTTTATTGCTATAACTATTTCTATTGCATTCACAATAAGATCTTTATTACCAATATTCAATACCTCTGTTTACATTCTCAGGTAAAAATTAAAAAAAACAGC